TGCATGATTTGGCAATGTGCGAGAAACTGCAAGACTCCTGTTTTCGTCATTCGAACACCAGCGACTTGAATTTCTCGGTCTTGGCCAGAGGAGGCAGTAGAGGTAGGAGAAGGGCCAAGACCGGATGCCTCGCCTTGTGTAGGAACCCTGTGCGGAAAAGAACATGTTAGGTGGACGCAAGGTGTGCGATGGAGGTAATCGGGCGATGGATTCATTAGAGCATGGAGGAGGTGGGCAACGTTGGCCTGCACCCAGGAGGCGTGGTGAGTGAAGGAGGAGAGAAAGGAAAAGCCAGGAGCGCGGTTCGTGGGGTCGTCACGCAGAGATAAAACGATTCGTTGGAAATCAGGAGGGAGCTCGGCCCCCAAAAGACAGTGTTCGTAGAAGAACTTGTCGAAAGTCTTGTGCTGGTTTGTGATGATGGTCCCCAGAAGAGGCATGGAGAGGTGGTGAGACTTGATAATGCCGCAAGGGTCTTGCTTGTGAATGGCGCAGACGGCGAAGGAGATTGGACCTTCCTCATGTTTTATGATTCGCATGATGACATCCAAAGTTTTTCGTATGAATGTAGCGGCAGTGTTGGCATCTTGATCGACGGTTGCGGTGATGGCAGCAGCTGAATCTTGGTGGTTGTCGTTGAGGTCGGCGGCTGGAAGGGGCGTTTCTGCTACTCGGCGGAGTTCTTGAATCGCTGTCACGGAAACAGCGTATTGGAGGGCGGCAAGAATGTGACTCATGTCACCGGCTTCGGCGAGTCTGAGGATCGGGGAAGTCTCGGCGAAGAGTGGGGCTGAACTTGCAACGACAGAAGCGGCAACAACAAAATTACAAACGGCCAAGTTGGTGAGGAGGTCGACATACCTGAGCCGGACGAGGAGCAAGCTTTTCATGGCATCGTGAAGGCGACTGTCTAAGGCGTGGGAGAGAGTTTCACCTGGGTCTCGTGGAGAGATGTGCGATTGAGCTCATGAAAGAAGGCGTCGATCGCGACGGAAGTCTGTTCATTACGGGAAAAGTCGGCGTCCCGTGTCTGATGGGTGAAGAAGAGGAGGCGGGCGACATGACTAGCATATCTTCGTTCTGCGATAGATTGAACCCGTCGGAAGGGCGTGATGCCGTGGAGGTTTATCGCTTGACGAAATCCATGCGTGACGTCCCTGACGACCTTGGCGATACTTTGAAAGTATAGATGGACGCAGGTTGCAACCGTGGATAAAGTTGCTTGAACGTCCTCCGTCGTGAGGGCACCCGTGAGTTGAGCTGCCTTCTCACGGCTTAGAGGCAGACCGTCGACGTCTTCGTAAAAGTCGGTGATCGCCAGGAATGTGTTGCGAAGGGCGATGCTGGAGTCTTCGTCATTTTCTTCTAATTCGGCATGAGATCGCCGACCGTGGGCCAGGTTTGAACTGGAACACGTTAGACGGGCCAGTACGTCAGCCGCACACTAGTGGAACTCATACGTTGATGGGTTGGGGTCTGAAGTGATGAGGTCTAGAGTTGAGTCGGTTGTTGTGTCCATGGGGCAGGTTGAGGCCGGGGCGGATTGGATGGGATCTTCTTCTTTTGATTCAGGAATACCGACGGGAAATTGGGAAACGGCGATCATTTCTCCGATTGGCGCTTCGGCCGTAACGGTAAAGTACTTGGTCTTGGCACCACTAAACAGAGACCGGGCAGTAACAGCATCCCGGCCAATGATTTGACCAACCTCGGTCGGATAGGGGTTTCCAAGTGCATCAGGCGGGTGGACGGAGTTCATATGCTGCCGAAGCCGTTTTGGAGTGCCCTTGGAGAGCTTTCAAAGAGAGACAGAAGTAGACTAGTTTGCATGTGAATCCTTGAAGCGGGGGGAGGCTCTTGATCGGAAGAGTGATTGCTGGATCGGGGAGGAATTGGGGAGCCTGCAGGTAGTCGGAAAGGAGCGGATAATCGGAAACAGAGGTACAGTGGAAGGAGAAGGCGTTTTCCGCGAGTCTAGATAGCTGTAAATGTGTGAATGAAGAGAACCTTACTTTTAAAAACGTTTGTAATTTTTACTATTATGAGTACGCATCTGATATATTAAGCATAACACGTCTTCTTCTCCGACATGAGTAGGCAGTTCAATCCGTAATTTCGCTCACAGGTGTATTTTAGCAAAGAAACGCTGCAACGGTATATGCTGCTGCGGATAAAGAAAACGTGCGCATAGTTCAGGTACTCTTTGCTTGTGTGATATTTCTATGATGTCATATCTGGCAGCTCAGACTTATCCAAATTTTCTTATTGCAAGCCGAAGTTTTCTACAAGTACTCTAAAAAGTCTCATGAAGCGATCGTAGATGTTACTAGAAAAAATTGTATTAGAAAAGATGCAAAGAGAGCATTCTCGCCAGTAACATATACTTTATCTAATCTTTTAGCTGGCCTTCTCATTTCCGTGTGGGCCATTCTCACCCAAAAATTGCAAAAAGTCACGGAATCTATTATCCTGGAGTAGATGACCTTTTCAAATCAGGGAAAGACAAAAAGTTCAAATCCAAGGGCTTGTGGGAGTATGTAACTTGACTTTTTCTTTGCATGACGTTTACGTAGCTGCTGTATCGTTCTGTTAGATAGAGAGGTCCACAAGGTCCCTGAGCCGTTACCAATTTCATTAGTGTTATAAAGGTAACTTTTTCTGCTTTGAAGGACTGAGGATGTGTACCTTCCGAACCGTACTACCACAAAATACCCAAAAACGAATATTGACGAATAAAGCAGAACTGTGCACCGCTTTCGTGAGCACGATTTTATCCGGATCATATGAATTATGACCTCAAATGCTGTTGCAATCACTTCAGTACAGCAACTGCGAATGAGCTTTTTACGATGAATAATTCATGCTTCCATGGCTGCTGATGATTAAACTTTTCGAAAATCCTGTTTTCATGCAAATATATTTTGTATTGGATCCATTTTGTTTTGTAACGTGGCAGTAATAGAGTTAGAATTGCATCAAATTCATAGAAGCAATATAAGCGTTTGGGTTTTTGAGGTTACGCTGCTTGGAAATTACAGGCTTTTCATCCATATATGGCGAGAAAGTGATTTTAATACGAATACACATAGGTCTGGAAAACATTTAGGTCTTAAATGCGCACGGGAAACGCTTCTTACGACCACTGTTAATGTCACGAAGTTTTATTCGTTATTGCAAATACCGAGTTTATAAAAATCCGGAGCAGAATTTCTGGGACAAATATGACTCTTTTGTGCCGAAATAAACCCAAAAGTAGGCATTTCAAAATTCAGTTTATGGGGATGAAAGTGCAGTTCACAATTGCAATGATTGCGTTTAACTTTCCCGTTGTTCCGGCATGTCATTCTTTATTAAAACGAAGCTTTAACTTTGGATTTATGGAAACTTTAACCTCGTACTGCGGCAGTTCGCATGAACTTTATCTGTTCTACAGTACTCTACTTTTCTCCTGTAAATGAATACAGTACTTAAATTGCTACTCGGAAGTCCCTGTAATACAGTACTTTTAAAATGGTACCCTTCCCCGAAAGTATATTGTGGTAACATCTTTCATAAATTAATTTAAAAAACTACTTCCCCTGCCCCAAATGACTTCAAACTGGTGGTTATCGATGCTCTGTGTTTGCTGATCAACTGGGAGGAGATACAGAATCTCAAGCCGTACTGGGTCAGAGAAACCCCGAATTTCCTTTTATTGGTGCGGCAGTACACAGATTTTTAGAAAAAGGTCTATTTGGTAATTTCAATGGCACCAGAGAGACCGAGTAACGCGGACGCAGCAACGTTGATGGGGAATGGTGAGGAGTTGACGCACTTTCCAGTCACTGCTGGATTCGGATGGCACATCCAACTATACGAAGTACAGGCAAAGTGGCAGGGCTTCGATGATGAGGAACCCACGTGGGAACCAATCCGCAACATGGGCGAAGACATTCCCGTGATACTTACCCCTTTCCTCTCTTTGTATCCTGACCAAGATCTCGTCAAGGCAGCTCTCTCGTCGATTTCCAATTAACTTCAACCTCTCTTCTGAGAGAGCGGACTGTTGCACACAGTGTGAGCTTTTATGGGAACAACTAGTGACACCATAAGCAGCACTGATTCTTTTATGGCTTCATCCTTTACAATGTCTTTCCTTTTGCAGCATCATCTCTGTGATCCCTGCTTCCACAAGCTTTCAGCGGTAACAGGTACTTCTACTTAAGTAGCTATCTTTGCAATAAACAGAGGGGCAAGGCACCTCACACCTTCACCACTCAAATCAAGACACTTCCCCCACGGAAATAGTGCCACACGCGAGCGCCATTGACAGCGCGCAACGTAGAGATGCGCGTGTCCATGCTATCTGCGTGGACACGGTCTGATTTAACCGATTCGGAAGAGCATAGCCGATGGCAGCCCGTTACAGCACCGCTGGAAGCAGCCTCTGACATGTACGTACACATGAACAGATACCATGGCAACTTGCCGTAGGAAAATGGCCGGTGGACTTTGCACTTTTAAGATAAGATACCCTCCGTATTGATTTATGACCGCATGGTGAACATGTTTCTGACACGTACATTAGTATCAGAGTACATGTGGGTCTGAGTACTTGATGGAGAAGTTGCCATAGAAGGCACTGATAATCCGCGGAAAGGCAGGAGTTGTCGTTTGCTGATTGCCTTAGATTACATGGGTGAATTATTGGAAAAAGAAGTTTTTGTTCGAATAGGCATTGATACCGGTTATCATCAATTTATTTGTAACTGCAAGGGAGTACATCGCGATGTCCACACGCACTGCCAACTAAAGATAGCCTTCGCAGATAATTTTGCGAGCAACTACACTTCATGAAAAGGGATTGAAATTGTTTTGCGATGTATTGGCCTTCAGACTGAAACAGCTGTCGTCGACTTCCAGACTAACAAAGAATTTGATAATCCCATGGTGACCCCTTGAGTCCATTCTAACAACTGCAGTCCAGGTGGCGCGGGTAGCTCAGCGAGCAGTCCTAATCATCAATGATCACGACTGATGCACAACCATCCGCGGTAAAAAGCGACACGGCAACGTATGTTAACGGGATACTTACGGCATTGATCTTGAGCTTCTTTCTTGCTTCTGGGAGAGTCCGGACAGTTGAAATGAGATCGGTCTGCAACTTTCATGTCCTCCGCGCCATCTTGTTCAATAGAGATGTCTTCCCCGACGCGCTTGTCATTCACAGCAAAGGCGACTGTAACCAGGACCAGAAGGGCCAAGAGAAAACATGTGCAGCGATGAAACATGTTGGAGAGGTAGGCCTGCTTTTTCGGATGATTTGATACTTTTTGGATTGGAGAAAGGCTTTGTAGTGAGAGGGATGTTGAAGGACAAACTACCTGGTTCGGGCAATCGGGCATGTCTTATATAGACGCAGAGCTGTCCATGATGTTCAGGGATGAGATGATTCCAGCTCATTTGGTTTGCTGAGAAGAAGCCTAGGCTGAAACAAGCTTAGGGTTTTATCGCACAGCTGTGGACAACTTGTCGGTGTTCACCAAACGCGGCAGTGTTTGAGGGGGGATGTTTGCGATATAAAAAGAATACTTCTTCCATAGATTATATCTGCGAGGCGTGTTTGAATGGTGGATATTATTTCATCTCCCCGAACTATCTTACTACATACCACAAGCGGAAGAGGCTCCGACTTTCTGGATGAGATGCAAAGGTTTGTTAGAATTGAAAGAGGTAAGTTCCACTTAAATGACATGCTCTTCTCTTCGGCACTATGGTAGAAGAGGCTCGAACCCCAAAAACGTTTTTGCGGTTGAAAGGTTGATATGTTTTCTCTGTAGATAATCTGCATTTTCACCGTTTTCTAAAATGTGCATCCCACACTACGGTTTCAAACTCGCATAATAGGTTGAAGTCGAAAGCAAGTAATGCTCACCACTACAGTGTAGTGGTTTCCCGAAACGATGGCGGTATTGTTAAACAGAATTAAAATACAGTGCATGAATATACTGGGGAACGAGCTATAGAGCTGCAGTTGTGGGCTGAAAGTGGGTAGTGTTGATTTTGAGAGATAGCCAATCTTTGTAATATCTGATACAGGTTGTCCAGGACCTCATCCAAAATGCCACCGGATATTGTGCAGATGCTACCCTAATTCAAAGAAAATAAAACTGCATGTCAGTTAAGGTCTCTATAGATAGCATATGCAGACGAGAACCATGGTTCAAACATGTCCCGATGGTCGATGTACAAACGGGGAGGGAGACCGCCCTTCTTTACAGACCAGGACAGATCCCAAAGCACGGCAAAGGATCGAGGTATTGTTAGCCCTCCAATAAAAGGAAAGTATTGCGTTGGACATAAAAAGGAAAATAGAAAACGATGCAAGTGTAGAAGAAAAAAGGAGAGCACTGATTACAATACGATTAGATCCGAACCGGTCGGTTCGTCCCGCTGGCTCTTGTTGAAACGAACGGACATTTGACTGAGCTGCAACACCTTGATCCAAGAAGCACCATGGAGCCCAAATGCTCAGTACGGCAGCTCCGAAAGGTCGCAACAATTCATATTAATTGGCGTCAAGATAATTGTCGCGCTCAAAGCGCGCAGATGGGACATACCGTGTAAGGCCGCGAGCCAAGTCGCTCTACTAAAGGTTCGTCTGCATTTAAGAGAGCACTGTCCTTCTGCCGTGCAATTGCATTTACAGGCACGCTACCTCTCCGATGCATTTATGTTTCATCGAGCCCCTATCGACGAGTAGTGAAGGAAACCAGTATAAGTAGAGAGGGGGCAGCATACGATAGGCATCATCGCGAAATAGTTCATCAAGTAAAGCTTGTCAATTGTCAACTGTTTCACTTGTAGTGATACATTGGTTGCTTTTTAATAGAGAAGTGCTCCTTGAAATATAAGACTACGTCTGCTGAAACAGTCAGAAAGCGTACGAAATTAATATCTAATTCATCGAACGAACGAAATTGGGAAGAGGGTTCAGAAGATGCGACCAAGATGCAAAAGAGAGACAATACTGTAGAGTCATTTTATCAGAGAAAAACGGAGTCCACTTTCCGAAAGTAAAAATGTAAACCTACTTATCGCAACCAGCAAGATATGCAGAAATGAAGGAAAATCGTGTCCTACTCTTGGAACTGACAGGTCGTTCCTCGTTAAATGCGATGCGAAGAAGAACTTAATCGACTCTTGTCGACGTACTGAATACAACAATGCTTCTCATCGTTTGAGAACCGACGGAACTTCCTCAACACATTACAGGCGCTCGCCCTCTCGCCTATTGCCTAATCAAGCAAGGGCGAGGACGGTGGTATTTAGGTGTTGCGATATAGTGAATTGCCCTTTCACGACCTCGGCGCCAGCCCCGATTCGTACCATGGCGCACGGCCAACTCGAATAATGTCATAATGAGCGCCAACAAACAACTACTCTCGATCGACGAAATGCATTAATCTTTAATGCAGTGACAACGGGAAAGTTATAGAACGAGAAATGACACTAGCCAGAAACCTCTTACTTCGCAAACTGACCCTATTCCCCAAATCTCCATTTGGGGTACCTCTGTCCAACCGCCAGGTTGCGTGTCAGACGTCAGATTCGCGCCCCCCCCAGATGTTCAAATGTTGAGACATGGAAATCTCCCGGATACATGCAACGAGAAACCATTGGGCAGAGAGAGAACACGCTGCCAAAATCTAAAACTATTCATATCAACGAAGTTTTCTCCCTCAATGTTGGTGTCGTTGCCCTGTGTCGAAAGAAGATAGCCTCCCTTGCCAAAGGCCGACACAGCGGCGCTTTCATAGGGCTTTCAATTCAAACCCCTTTGCCGCATACAAAAAGGCCTTGTCCTTCGTAAGGCCAACTTGTCCTGCTTTTGGACCCGAAGATATCCTAACATCTTTTGAGGACTCATTTTCTGCGGTTTATGAGATGAAACCACGATCAAAACGATGCAAGGATGTGTTTCCTTCTTTCAGTGGGCGTTAGATCCGAAATCAGCGTTGAAGGCAGCTCAAATGCATCATCACACATGCGCCATGTAGAAACAATATATAGTGCCTTGTCACCCGACAACACGACATGATCTGCGTGATCTGCGGCGGTGGCATTTGCAGTGCAGTATAGACAGCGGTTGGGGAAAATAGCCTTTTGTTGGAATTGCTTGATGCACTGCCAGGCATGGCGGAGGGTGGTTTGCAGATTGGGTAACATGGAGGGGTTGGTGAGACAGGGACGTAGTTTTCGAAGCAGGGCACTCCCAGGTAGGGGGTGCTTTAGTTCAACAAAGTAACAGGAGGGGAACGTGAGGAGAGGATGCGGGAACTTTTGAAGAAACAGGGGGCAATGAGCAAGGGTAGACGGTGTGCGACAGACACAAGAAGGGATATATCTAGGGTGGATTTGAGCGGAGATGGGAAGGGAGAGAAAGCCCTGGTGTCGGTGGATGTAAAAAAGACTGGTTGTCGATGCGCATAGAGGCAAGTATGCACGAGGTAGGGACTGGGTATTTCGAGACTGGGACATGTCCTTTGGCAACAGTGCGAGATCAGAGATCTACTTCCTCTGGAAACAGTGCTTTGATGGTTTGAATGCGGGCACTGCGGGGTGCGGAGAGTGCCCAGAGGCTTGCCATATTGTGGACATGAAAGGGGTTGTCCCACGTCATACTGTTGTACAGTAGTTCCTCCTTATAAGAATGCCTCATATAAGGATATCCTCGGTATAAGAATGCAAAACGCATCCACTGTTTTCGTTCCCGCAAAATTGACCCCAATTTCGAACATTTATTCATATTCTATACAAGAATACAACGAGAAAGATTTTTCAAAAATCTGGTACAGAACCAGCTACTTTTACAACAAAAATAAGGGCCAGTACAATATTCAGAAACCAGTAACGGCAGGAAATCCACCCGTTTCCTTTGGGGATGGCCGAATCCCCAAAGGAAACGGGTACTTACGTCGCCTGAGGCGCGATTTGCAGGCTGAGGAGGCCGCGGCCGGTCGCCAGAGTAGGATAGACGACTTTTTTAAGTTACAGTAATAGCTTAACTCTCCTGTGTTGGTAGGACCAAATCCTCATTAAAGAATATCCTCTATATAAAAATGGAAAACCCGTCCACCGGACATATTCTTATACCGAGGAACTACTGTATACGGGAAAGTACACGCGGTTGGCGACGAAGGTGAATGTCCCAGGCACGGCCTTCGATCAGATTTTCCATAGATAATATCTGTAAAACAGAAGATGATTGGTCCCAAGCACACGGATGTGAGAGGAATATGATAGTTTTCACAGCAAGGAAGAAAATAAAAAAGAAGCGACATTTGGGAAATGGTGGCACACATGACATCCTTCATATCATTTGGTAGAATATGAAGAGAGATTAAGGACTTTCATTGTTATGACATCAGAATATAAGAAAAAGTGGTCGATATGTCAAATCGTATTGGCAGGAGGTCCGCATATTTCATGCAATGGCAATGAGTCAACATAATCCTCAACATGAAAGCGAATCACTAGACCCTTAGCACAGTTGGGAGGGGACTGCCAAACGTGCCAATCATATGCTAGGGCAACCATGTCAGACTGTAAACATCAAATTGATTGCATAATTTGATGGCGACAGTCGAAATGGAGAATATTCAGTTGAATCATCGCTGGTCAACATAACACGTAGCAGTACTGTGCGTCTACAGTAAAAATAGAAGTGGACGGAGACTTACGAAAAAGCCCGCCTCTTTTGGAAACATGCCCATCATTGCGCATTTAAACCCCACCCTTCTAGACAACCTCCAGACCGTACACCCCCATCCCTTCCCTCACCACACTTTCCCTTGCAGATCCCCTCTTCCCTCATCACACCTTCCCTGGCAGATCCCCTCTTCCCCTTCCGAGGCTCAACCATGCCTGCCATCACCCAGACACAGGCCGCAACTGCCCTTCAGCTACTGGCAGATGCAGCCGTTGAACGCAACAACGAAATAAATCGTTACGAACAAGACGACGACGTGGAAACTGATGAGGAGGTTGACTCCGAATCGCCTACATTTGACAGGTTTTATGAACAGGGTGGCTCAGCGGCAATTATCGAAATGACAAATTTCGATCCTACACAGTTTCTCGGCATTTGGTGTGGCTTTGAGGAACTAATCATGGCACGGTACAACACGGGCCGTGGCCGAAACTCCGTGCACACAGGGAAGGACGTCTTGTTCATGACGTTATGCGTCATGAAGCACGGGGGTCAGTGGGACTTTCTCGCAAAAATGTTTGGTCTAAAAGGTCCCTCTTTTGAGAAGCTCATAATGAAATTTGTCGAGATCATATCACTCCCTGTGTATCAGCATTATGTTGAGGCTCAAGCTGGAAAGTGGACCATGGACAA